ACAATCCATACTTTGTTTTTTAACACGAATGTGAGGTCAGGTATATTGTGCTCCAAAACTCTGTCAGTCTGAATTCGAAAGTCATCATTATCCTGCATTATCTCCCCAAAGAGCATTCAAAGCAGCTTGACATAAAAGCATTAGTGTACATTTTAAAATATACAAATATGCAACCATTAAAATAGAATTAAACACAAACAGCTTTTAAAAATCACAATTAAAGTCCATCAAAACATATTTAAAATTAAAAATTACAGCACTGTACAAAGATGTCTTTGACCAAGAGTTATTTATCATAATAACTGAGAAGGCAGAACAGTCTTTAGTTTAAAAAACTACAAACAACATAACATAACAAGTTCCTCTGTTTTTGTAGAGTCACACAGCCCCGGGGTTGCTTTAACCCGAGACACGGTTATGCAGATGCAGATTGCTCCTTTTGGCTTCTGCCCAAAGCTGAAAGTTTCTATCTGTTCCTCCTACAAGGTGTCCTCACTCACCCTGAGGTCTTTTCCGAGCTTGCCTTTTGCAGAGGCAGTAGGTAACCATAGCTGTGTTTATCACAGTATTGTTGCAATAGACTTATTAGACCAACCCACAAACACCACATTATCCGTACAAGCTTTTGAAAACACAGGTTTCATCACTACAGATGTTTTTGTTATTGTTTTAATATAGGTGAAGGGGTAACTATTAACATTAGAGTCACAATCTGAATTCTTCACAGAATTAACCTGTTTCGTATAAAAAGGAAAATGTGGAGAGATAAAAAAAGGGAGTCCAGCAGCACTTCTGAGACTGAAGTCTCAGCTACACTACAATATAAGCAATATTAAGCAACAACATCATAAATACTGAGACAATTCTTGAGGGCAATATCCAAGAAAAATGGGGAAGTAATGCTGAAGAGCTCCCGGTGGCACCGCTGAGCTGCTGAACTTAGAATCATAGAATCATAGAATCAAAGAGTTGGAAGAGACCTCATGGGCCATCCAGTCCAACCCCCTGCCAAGAAGCAGGAATATTGCATTCAAATCACCCCTGACAGATGGCCATCCAGCCTCTGTTTAAAAGCTTCCAAAGAAGGAGCCTCCACCACACTCCGGGGCAGAGAGTTCCACTGCTGAACGGCTCTCACAGTCAGGAAGTTCTTCCTAATGTTCAGATGGAATCTCCTTTCCTTGTAGTTTGAAGCCATTGCTCCATTGCGTCCTAGTCTCCAGGGCAGCTGATTCTATGATTCTATGATTCTATGATTCCTCTCACATATTTATACATGGCTATCATATCTCCTCTCAGCCTTCTCTTCTTCAGGCTAAACATGCCCAGTTCCCTAAGCCGCTCCTCATAGGGCTTGTTCTCCAGACCCTTGATCATTTTAGTCGCCCTCCCCTGGACACATTCCAGCTTGTCAATATCTCTCTTGAATTGTGGTGCCCAGAATTGGACACAATATTCCAGGTGTGGTCTAACCAAAGCAGAATAGAGGGGTAGCATTACTTCCTAGATCTAGACACTATGCTCCTATTGATCATCGTCATCCAACACTCTAGAGCCGCCACATCACATTGTTGGCTCATGTTTAACTTGTCCACGAGGACTCCAAGATCTTTTTCACACGTACTGCTCTCGAGCCAGGCATTGTCTCCCATTCTGTATCTTTGCATTTCATTTTTTCTGCTAATTGAAAGGTCGGTGGTTTGAATCCAGAGAGTGGAGTGAGTTCCTGCTGTTAGCTCCAGCTTCTACTAACCTAGCAATTCGAAAACATGTGAGTAGATCAATAGGTATGCTTGGGCGGGACGGTAACGGCGCTCCATGCAGTCATGCCAGCCACATGACCTTGGAGGTGTCTATGGACAATGCCAGTGCTTCATCTTAGAAAAGATGAACACCACTCTCCAGAGCCAAACACAACTAGACTTAATATCAGGGGGAAACCTTTATGCTTACCTAATGCTGAAGACCAGGGGTCCACGAACTTTTTAAAGACAGGGCCAGATCACAGTCCCTCAAACTGTTGGAGGGCCGGATTATAATTTGAAAAAAAAACATGAATGAATTCCTATGCACACTGCACATATCTTATTTGTAGTGCAAAAAAAAAAACACTTTAAAACAACACAATAATTAAAATGAAGAACAATTTAAACAAATATAAACTTATTAGTATTTCAATGGGAAGTGTGGACCTGCTTTTGGCTGATGAGATAGGATTGTTGTTGTTGTTATGTGCTTTCAAGTCATTTCAGACTTAGGTTGACCCTGAGCAAGGGCCGGGTAAATGACCTTGGAGGGCCGTATCCGGCCCCCGGGCCTTAGTTTGAGGACCCCTGCTGAAGACAATCAGTTTTCTGGGTATTCTGAGGAATTTCTTCTGAGATAACTTATTTGGTACACAAGCAGTGGTGAAGACAGGAATATTAATAGCTTGGAACTGGAACACCTTCCAATTCAGCCATTTCTGAATGTTTTTAATCACAATAAGCATCTGTTATATTCTGACTTGAAGTTGAAATTTGAAGATCTAAGGAGGACGGATACTGAGAGTCCATGCCCGGTAAGACCAGCTAATTACCAATGTTCCCAGATGAAGTAAGACTCATCAGCACTGAAGACAATGACAGAGGCCTCAATTTCAATCTGCAGAAGGATGCAATGTACAGCAAAGAATGCCAAATGTACAAGCATAATTGTACTGGAGCGTGTAACCACTTTTATATGGTAAAAACTCATGCATTAGCATTAGCTTTGTTTAATTTTCCCTTCCCCTGCTTGTGATTTGTTGAGCATGGAGGGTGGCCGGGCTCCTGATTGGTCAAGAGGTGGGAACAAGCCGGCCCGCTCTCGGATTGGTGTAGGCTCTGGTGACATGGATGAGGATCCCCTCTTTGCCAGGTGGGAAACCCCTGGGCTGCTAATCAGGTGGCTGATGTATCTCCTTGGGCATAGAGAGTATCCAGGAAACACGTCCATATTTGAAGGGCTTAAGTTGAGATGCTGAAGACAATGGATGCCTGGACATGGAGATGACACAATGATGTAGATACAGAGTCCAAGATGCCAGGAACAATGGGTGATGATTTCCCAAGTCTGTTCTCAGGCTGACCAAATAAAGAAATGTCTATAGGTATGTTAGATAAATATTCTTTCGTGCTTGAATATTGTTCGTTGATAGCTGACTCACACCCAGGGACAGTCCCAGATGGTGAACAGGAAGTTTATCCACTGGATGTGTATGTCCATAATGGTTGGATGGTCCATCCAGGCTGTGCCCGCTGCTCGAGGGCACAGCATGGCATTTCTGGAGGTCACTGCCTCTGACCCGGATCAGGCAGAAGTGAAGAGTCCAATGTCACTTGCCTCAGAAAATGAAACATATTTAATAGCAAGTCCTCTATAAATAGAATATATTTGATAATACAAGGTAGAGGGGGAAGTCAAAGGATACAATGCATTTATAATAAATTAGATTGGATACATTCTATCGAAACATTGTCATGTTGTGTCTTTTCCTTTCTGTTTACCACTGCACATGTGTGCATCTCAGGATCAGCAGATATGGTGGTGATTAAATGAAATTCCAATGGCTCTCTTTTGTCCATGGGACTTGTGGCATCTGAGTAGGAGGCCATTAAGTGGTGATGACCTCCATGACCGACTTTGGCAGAAACAATACTGTGTGGATGCATTTTGATAGACAGGGTTATGAGAAGGTGTAACGGATTAGCCTACTTTACAGAGTTGGTGTACAGGCAGTAACAGGCCTGGCTTGGAAAAGCTAAGGAGAGATCAGGCAGCTTCATAGTTGGAAGTGCAGTCTGGAGATGGGCAGAGTCAGGGGAAAAAGTAAGATCTATACAGCCAGAGTTTTGTCAGTTTGAAGTTTGGAATTTGGAGTTTGAAGAGTTTAGTTTAGGAGATTTGAAAGGGGATGGAAGGAAGGCAGGAGGGTAGAGTTTTGGGAACTCTTATCAGAAAGATAGCTTTTTGAGGAAAGTAATTAAAGTCTTCAGGGAGAAGGAGTAAGAAATATAGTGAGCCTTTATAGGTTTAGAGTGCTGGTGTGGGAAGAGAATTCAAAAAGTTTAAAACAACCTGTTTGTATTCCTGTGTATGGAACATTGTTTTCAATAAACTCATGATATAAAACCATTCTCTGTACAAGTAAAGCCTGACAATTTATTGAAACCACTACACATCTTTATTATTCAAGAATAAAATAAGCCTCACATTCTTGTTTTATTTCACCTGAAGAGTTTGTGTGTCTGCTTGAACATTCTAGCAAGGAGGCGGCCTATGGATCAATAAATGGTGGCAGCAAAAGTAACCTTAATAATAATAAATTAATAACAATACATAATAAATATAACATTGTAATTGTAACATATATATAATATACAGTGGTATATTATATACCACTGTCCTGTCTTGTGTGTGTGTGTCCTTGTCCCCTCGGCCTTCGCTTGGCCTATCTATCATCTTATTGCAGAAAGCATAGATCGAGGAAATGATACTGGAAAGTCTACAGAAGGGGACACAATTGTAGATATATTTTATATAGAGGAGATATATATGATATAAAAGGCGACTATTTCATCAAGGGGGAAATCAAGGCACCTGAGTGAGAGATCTGCTATTGAAGATCCTTGTTTGCATGCACACTGGTCTGAATCAGAGCATCTGTGTGTGCTGTTAAAAAAGGAATAAAGGCATAGAGGGGAGGATTAGCCTTTGTGGATCTGCTGCTATCATGGAGGTCGTGGGTACTGTTTGGATAGTGGGAGAGAGGGAATAATTTCATTGGGTTTCGTGTGGTTGTACTTGATGTACTATAAATCTTCAGAGTGGAGAGTGCCATGTTTGACAACAAGCCGTTCCAAAAAGATAGGGGTTTCCTGAGAAATGCAAAATGTTCCCATCCTGTTGTTCAGGATGCAGAGACAACTTCACATATTTTTCTTATACTGTTTTTGCTAATCTCAAATAAAGAAGCACATCTGACAAAAATATGTGGTTTATTACAGTTGTGCAAACAATCACTAACACCATCTGTGGGTTTCACTGCTTGACCTCCTCTGAAATCTGGTAGAATACTTTCAACATGGAGTCTCGCACCAACTTGGTGAGTTCTAGGACATCGTCTGCCTTCAGGCCTTGCGTTTCCACCGTGGGCAAAATCTGAATAGTGCATTCCCCTGGGGGCAGACAAGGAGAGAGGAAGAGGCTAATTAGAAAAGAGAGAAATGATTGTCTGTACCCACTGCCAAAACGAAAGATCCAGCATGGAGTAGTGGTTGTGACTCACTTGAGGTCACCCAGTGGTTTTCCGTGGCTGAGCAAAGAATGGAGTGCTGGTCTCCAGAGTTGTAATCCAACGCTCAAATCACCACACCTTGCTAACTTTTAAGATCCCAAGAGACATGATGGTGGATATCAGCTTTGATATTTGATAGCTGGTTGTCTTTTACTGTGTTTCATTTACTAACCTTTAGTGAACGTTTTCTGTATTGTACTGCAGAAATGATGATATGAAGAGATCACCACAGGCACGACTGGAACCTGTAGAGGACAGAAATATAGTGAGAAGGAGGAAGAAGGAATGGATAAGATGTATCAACCCAGAAAATCATGCAAGGACACAATGGTTTTCACCTGGGCCTGTATAGCGAGGTGAAAAGCCCCATGCTTGAAGGGCAACATGGAAGTATTATGGTTCCTGGTGCCTTCAGGGAATATTAAGACCCGGAACTGCAAAAGAAAATGAGGTAGTAAATTCAAGTTTGTGTCATGCCTTCCCATATAATACCATAATAATAATAATAATAATAATAATAATAATAATAATAATAATAATAATATATATATTTCTTACCTGCTTCTCCTTGAGGCTCGAGGTGGGGCACAACATAGTTAAAAACAAACCATTATAAAACATTATGTAAAATAAAGGTATTAAATAGGGCTGGGCGGTTTCGTTTCGTTAATTCGTAATTCGTTAATAATTCGTTATTTTTTTTATTACAAAACGATAACGAACCATTCTGGAGCAATTTTTTTAAAAAAACGAATTTTTAAACACGTTTTGTAAATGCTTCGTATTTCGTTATTGTATTCGTTTCGTTATTGTTCTGAGGTCGTTTCGTTATTATTTCCGCATGTCTGGGGCAAGTTTTTTGTTTAATTAGTGAAAAAAAATTATAATATCACACCAACAGTCAACAACAGAGGGAGAGGGAAGCTTCAGAAGTTTTTGGAGGTTTTTTAGCGTATTTCGCGGTCGCGTCCGCCATTAACGAATCGATTCGTTATTGTTTCGGAAATCGATTCGTTAATGTTTTGTAATTTTTTTTTCACATTTACGAAATTTCGTAAATATCGAACTTTTTAAAAGGAAAATTTTGTAATTATTTTAAATAACGAAACACAAAAACCCCCAAAAAACGAATCGATTTTAGAAACAAATTTTTCCGTTGTTACCCAGGCCTAATTACTACACCTAATCAGAAATGCAGCACCATTTGTCTTGGGGAGGACTAGGACCAGGTGGTAAGCCAAAGAGCCGATTGTCCATACACATCTCCAAGGTCATGTGTCGGCATGGCTGCATGGTCACCAGGCCCGTAGCCAGGATTTCGTTTCGGAGGGGGGGGGTGATTTTTTTCAGGGGGGGTTTCGGGGGGGGGGGGGCTGAGTCTGAGTGAAAGAGGGTCTACCCTAGCTAACCTTTTGTATCGTTACCCCAATACACCCATGCATGTGGGATATATTGAGTAGGGTGATCATATAATGATATGAATAAACATAACAGTTTAAATAATGCACCAGTAAGGCCTTTTCGCGAACCACCATGAGAATTTCGGGGGGGGGGGGGGGGCTGGAGGCTTCAGCCTGACTGCACGGAGCACCATTACCTTCCTTATGGATTGGTACCTATTGATCTACTCACATTTGTATGTTTCTGAACTGCTGGGTTGGCATAAGCTGGGGCTAACAGCGGGAGCTCACCCTGCTCCCTGGATTTGAACTACTGACCTTTCGATCAACAAGTTCAGCAGCTCAGTGCTTTAACCCACTGCGACAACTTGACAGCAAATAACCAGACTTACTTGTGAGGAAAGGCAAAACAGTATTTTTTAAATTCTAGTTATAATACTAATTAACTATTGGAGACTCTTGGAACTATAATGGTAATTAATTCATCCTTAAAAAGTAACTTTCCAACCTTTGGTTATATCATTTTGCTAATACTTTACCAAATACCATTAATCCCCTTCTGTTTCTCTCTATGCGTATATGTGTGCACAAATATGTAGAGATGCACTCACCCTTTTTGCCACCATGGCTTTTTGTATGTATAACATGGTGTTGATGGCCCGGGATTTCTCCTCGCGGTCAATAAAGAAGAAGCCACACAGCCAAAATGTTAGGCCTAATAATCCCACAAACCGAAACTCCTTTTTAGTAAGGGTAACACATTGTGGAGGAAGAAATTCAGACAGTGCTGTTGGAAAAAAGCATAAAGATGTGAGTCTGGAGGTGAGTCTAGAGAGAATACATGTTATAGCACCTTCTCAATCAATAACAAGTATAATATATAGCTTTTACCTGGTAGGGTGGCTAGGAGTTTACATGACTTGGAGTCCAAAAAAAGTGATGTTTCTACTTTTCATGATAGGCCAGAGAAGTACAGAAACTGATTTTTCAATACACTGTATGCTGGTTTAGATCACCTGTATAATTGATACATGATGCCCAACACCAAAGATATAAAATACTGAGATTCAAATGAGCATGGCATGTTGTTCTCAATTTTGATCTCTCTAATAGGATTTCTATTATTCCTGCCACCCATTTTTCTACCATTACACTTACAGGCAGTCCAATTCACAAATATCAGACTTACAAATGACTCATAGTTAAGAATAGGGCTGAGGATGGGAAATTCACTCTTGGAAGAGTTATCATAGGAAAAGGTTTATCACCCATCCTTGTTTCCACGACAAGCCATTTTTTTCATACTCCAATCATCACAGAGACGGAAAGTGAGGTGAAGTCTTCTGAACAGGGGCATAGACAGCAAAACAAACAACACAGGGGTGTTAACCCTTCTCTATGTTATCCAAAGCTTTTGTGTGTATGTGTGGCTGGAGTTGTTATCAAACACCGCTGCCCCTTCCAAGGACAAGGGGCCGATGTGAATCCTTGCAGATGAAGTCTTCTCCAACCTTCTTTGGACCAGCAGCTAACCGCATTGGGGACTACCTTTATTTAGTAATAACAAAGGCTCTTCAATGTGTTCTTTTCATAATGATTTCAATATAGGTATGGACAAAGGGCAGTCAACAGGTCACATGTGCAACCACAGCGACATTTTTATTGTTTTCAGTGAACTATCCCCAGAAGGCAAAAAGCACAACAACAAATCATGCTTTATTCCACAATGCTGTTTATAGCCATTTGCTAGGTCCCCCAATGCAAATCTACAGTAAAGCCCAAGAGATGCATATGGTAGAATGGCTGGAACAACCTAGCAAATCTAGAGACTATTGTGTTGTCGAAGGCTTTCATGGCCGGAATCACTGGGTTGTTGTGAGTTTTCCATGATGTATGGCCATGTTCTAGAAGCATTCTCTCCTGACGTTTTGCCCACATCTATGGCAGGCATCCTCAGAGGTTGTGATATTATGGCTGATAGGAGAGATAATACCAAGAGCAATCCTTTGTATGAGGCAGAAAAGTACGTTTATTTTCAGCTGAAACCCTGGTGTGGAATCTCCTCCAAAAGCAAACCAGAGCGAGGATAAAGGGTTTCCCTTTTATACATCTTCAAATGCAGGCAAACAAAGAAACATGCTTCTACATACATTAACATCATCACTATGTCACCTTAACCATCATAGAAATATCAAATTATATCTTCCTACCACAATATTGTAGCTGGAATACCAGATTCTTAAAGTATATGAGCCCTACTGCATCTTGAGATTGTGTGCTTATTCCTGCTTTGAAGGAAGTCAGCCCTAGAAGAATTGACGAGGGCAAGAAGAAGACAGAAGCAGGAGAGGGAACCTAGGCGGAAAAACCTCAAAGGGTGTGGAGGCTGCTGATTTCTAAATAGATAAAAACAGAACTTACTGTGAACCTACCAATGAAATCAAGATATCCCTGGTGATTTGCCACCATCACATAGCAGTCTTCATCTGGAAGGTTTTCAAGGCCTTGGATTTTGAATCTGATGCCAAAGAAATACTTAATGAGAACCAGTAGCTTGCTAAAAATCCTGCCAGAAGAACAAAACGAAATAGCTGTATTTTTAATCAGGCAGCCATCATAAATGCCTATGCACCAACACTAGATGCTGATGAAGACATTGAAGAAAAATTTTACTGTCAGCTGGACACCGTCCTATCAGGGATACCTAAGGAGGACAAAATCATCCTCCTGGGGGATTTTAACACAAGAGTTGGACAAGACTTGACCTATGGCCAGGGACCATAGGAAAAGATGGGCTTGGAATCAGTAACTTGAATGGCATCCTGTTTCTCACCAAATGTGCAGAACACAACCTTGTCATCACTAACACGCTCTTCTGCCAGAAAAAACAAACAAATTAAAGACATCATGGAAGCACCCCTGGTCAAAGCATTACCCTTAGACTATGTAATTACATGTGCCAGAGACCACCGCAATGTGCTTCTTGGAAGAGCCATGACATGCTCTATTGAATGCTGGACAGACCACAGATTAATCTGATCCATTATGGCCTTCAAGATTGCCTTCAAAATGCTGACTCCAAGGAAGAAAGACAAGGTGAAAAATAATCACCCAAGCCCTTCAAGAGCCCTCCAAACGAGCCCTCCAAACGAGCCCTTCTCCAGACAACTCTAAAGGATCATCTACCCATAGAACACCCTGAAAATGTTGAGGAACATTGGAACAAACTGAAGACCTCCATCATC